CCTCATTGAAATGTTCTTTCGCTCGCGAACTGCTGGCTGAAGACATCCATTCTGGAGGGAAGCGGAAACATTCACAAAATCTTTGGGGATAGGTTTTTTCCAGCATGGTTGAACAAATGTTGTGGTCAACAACATTCCCTCCAGTCTCACTGAGGCACTGGTATCATGCTCTACGTGGGCGGCAACACCATGAACTGCAATGCGTGGTGCGGCGCAACCTGCCAAGCTTGAAGTGTTTGGAGGTTGGTTGTTGGAGGATCAATTGCGGCTGCAGACTTCGCTTCAGCCTCGATGGCGCCTCAAATCAACAACATGGCGATGAGTCTGTTGTTGTTTTTCGCCTTGGAGTTTCATGATTCGCCTTGGCTGACATGCCTCACGTCGGACCATGTCACCTTCCAGATCTTTCAGGTGTCAAGACTTAATCGATTGGGACCAACCGCCAACTGCGCAGCCAACATCACGGCTCAATCCTGAACCGCTCGTGACGCCAACCCCCGCGCCTCTCGCCATGCCTGAGACCATGGAGATCAGTGATGCGGCCAAGTCTGGCGATGGCACCACGCAGAACGTGGGCATCAAGGTGGGTGATTTCATGTGATTTCTGTTTTGTACGGAAGTAATGCCTCTATGATGTTCTATCCAATTCTTTGCAAGTGCCCCATCGCGGCCTGTGAATCTTTTCCAACGAGAATGTTCATTCTGCATCATGAGCTTTAGGAAACTTTAGGCAACGACACGATCTGAAAACTGTTTGGACCTGAAGGACGCCTTCGATTCAGGCCAAAGGTTCTGCATCAAGGAACCCGGGGACAAGCTGGATTCCACCCTCAGACACTTCAACATATAGCATGAAAGCAGACACAATTCATTCTGAGACACATTCTGCACTGGCCCCGACGAGAAGATATATATATATATATGATAACAGTTTTGACTCGACACTTGAACTTGGATGTCCATCCAGAAAAGTCCGGAAAAGGGCTCACACTTGGTTTTCTTTTCCCTCAGCAAACCCTTTACCATCTCAGGGTTCTCACCTCACTGCCAGACCTGGATCCTCCTGCCCTCCAGGTGAACGCCACCTTCCAGTGTGCCGAGTGCCGCCAGAAGTTCGACTCCGAGAAGGCGAGTTCGGAGGGCGCCGACGTCGCTCAACCGAAGTCGACCACCTCGACCGAAACCGGCTGGAACGGGTTGAAACAGGTCGAGTTGGCGAGAAAACCGAGTTCGGATGGGAGTGAAAGTTTCGTGTGGATTGAGGCAGACTTCTGAGGGATTGAGACAGGCTCCTGCCGATGTTAGGGAAGGTTCGCTGGGCCGTGCACTCACTAACTGTGATTTGGATTGACAGCACCAGGTGCTGTAAGTAGTAGAATTAGTGACTAGATGACACAAGTCCTGGAGTCGTACGGGCCCCAGCTCAAAAGGACTAGATGACCAAAAGACCTCGTGCTGCATATGCCACGGAGATGGTCATAATCAGACCATCTCAGACCTGCCTCAAACCCTGACTTCAGAAAGCATCGAGGTCTACAGAACCCCTTTGACGAAGCACTGACGCCTTTCCCCCACGACTTTTGACCCAAAATGGTTTGTGGTGTGTTTTAAGAACAAGATTTCCCTCCACATGTGACCACCCAGTTAAAGGAGGGGTCCCATTCCGAATCCCAGTGGCTAGGGGTGACTGCTTTGCAGATCGAAATTTGACTCCTTTGAGTGCCTGCGTTATGTAAGCCCTCGTGACGTAAGACGCCCTCTCAACTTCTGAACCTGGACATGTTGGCTGGTGCTGTTTGTGCTGCCCAACCCCAAAGCCCAAAAGAACCTGAACAAAGAGGTTTCCTAAAAAATGGCAAGGTCATTTGGGGAGCATCCAAGAGCTACCACTCTCCAGAAGTCCAGAAGTGGCTTAGATGGTTGTGTAGCTGTAGCTGCTCCTCAGCTCACCATCAATAGGTTGGAAGGTGATATCATTTCTTTACCCAGTGGGTGGAATCGGCTCGGGTGGAATGGCGTGCGATCGAGGCGCCGCTTTCTCACAGCAAAGTGGCGCAACATACATGTTCTGCTGGTTTGCACTTGTCAGGCCAAGCAGTTGCACTGGAAGTTCATTCACGACCCCAACAGACACCAGGAAGACTGAGTGAGCAGGAGCAGCTCTTGAAACAGAAGCCCTTGTAGCATTGCAATGCTTTGTTAGAAGGGACAGATTGAAGTGCAGGCCGCTGCTTTTAGCACCAGCTTTGCCGAAAGATCCATTTTCCAGGGCTTATCGCGAGCAGAGTGGGCGTGTCAGACATAGGTCTGCAGGCTGACGACGCTTAGAGAAACCAAAGCAGCAAAATGTCCGAAGTGGCTGAAGCGTCTAAAGTAGGTTGCTAGCAAGAACTGCAGTGAGTTTTTTTGGGGTGACATGCGTGGAGAAAAAGATACCAACCTCTTTCCAGACCACAGTATCCTGTTGAGAGCGGGAAGGGTAAGGTGGCTGCAGGTAACTGTTTAGCTGAACTTTTCAAGGTTCTGCAACTTGCTTTGCCAGTGAGGTTGTTCTGGTGCAAAGGCAATGGTTGCATCAGCAGCTTGTCGCGGCTCAATCTTGTCGATCTTGAACTGTTTAGCCTTGCAGCTTCGTC